TTAGGCACATTTAAAAACAAGGATGCATTGTCAGAAACTGTTCTATTTTTTTTAAAATCCCTATGAGGGAGAAAACAATAAGAAAATTAAAGACATTACAGATAAATAATAGACTGCAAACAGTGGGAAAAAAAAGGATGGGTAAAGTTGTTCAGAACACAAATTTGTGCTCAACCTCATTTTGAAAATTACTTTTCTCCAAAACTTCAGACCAAGAATTTCATAAGAAAGATTTCCTGGTTGCCTATCCCAAGATAGATGACCTAAGCTTTGTGAAAGTCTATTGTATCACTCTATGCTCCTAGGTCCAGTATCAACCATATTATTACTGATATTTAAAATGTTGCAGCACTAAGCTGGAAACAGTATATTTCTTAATTTATTTTAAAAACTAGTGAACGAACGAACGAACAAACTTTATTTTTAAAGGGTTAAGAATTGGGCACACAGGCCCGTGTTACATTCTGCCCTTCGAGGTCTTCCTCTATTCTTACATCATTTCATTCACACATCAAGTAATATTAAAAGTTAGCAATAGCATCAAAATAATCAATACAAGCACTGGAATGTGCACATTTTTAACTACAGTAAAACGTATTAGTTGTAGCAAATCTAAGGAAAATGGGCGCTATTTTTCACATATGTTTTATCTTCTATGGGGACATATAATCGGTGCTGAGATAATATTCGAACAATTTCTGATTGTATGTACATGGACTAGTGGTACTTTTGATTTGCTGTGGTAGATAATTCCACAATTCAGCTGCGGAATATGACAAACTTGTTTTATAAAGGTCTATCCTAGGGTTTAGGGATGTGTAATATGTTTAGGCGCTTACTATGCCTTTCATTATATTTAAACAACGGCCATAAGTAACATGGAGCCTTTAGGATAATATATAAATCATGAGGTTGTAAAAAAAAAAAGCCATTAAAAGTAAAGATCCCTTTTCACGCCTTTAGGCACATCAGCCTTATGGAAAGAGCACCCTACATTTTTTACAGACCAATCAGCCTTAGGTTGGTAATGTGGTAGCATTATGCCACCTGTTTTCATTTTCCCTGGACACCCATTTTAGGCTGGGTCCATCTGCGACCCCCTATACCACGATAAAAATCCTCGCAGCCAGCAGTGGGTTTTGATCATGGTATGTTAGAATTACGAGTCCCGACTCACAAGGCCTAAGCCATGGACGACGCCACAGAAGCCATTAGCTATATTATTTTAAGTTATCAAGTATTATTAGCACTATATTATTGACAGGTCTCCAAGGTCCAAGTAATGTCTCAAGGATAATCTTGTTATAACTGAGTTAATCTAATAGTTGATGGTGGCAACTAAGCTAAACCAAAACAAGATGGTGGCAGTGAACTACTGACCTGATTCTTTCGTCGGCACCTTGACGGAATTTGAACACCTGCTGGTGATATCTCTGGCATAGGCTTGCACACAGACCTCGTACCAGGAGAAGGGATTCAGGCTGGTGATGAAGGCCTTAAACTGGTAGGGATCTGTCACCTTGACCACTTTGCTTTCCCCGTAACTCACCGGATCCAGGTCAGTGATGTGGGTGTAGTTGACTATGTAGCCTTCTATTGCTGCCAGACTGGTGCCCACCTGAAAGCATTTGTATTGTTGATTGAATCCTTTTGGTATGTAACTATATAACTTATATAAACCCTCTCACCCTAGGAAACCTTAAAAAAAAATGTCATGACCCTGTCAGAAATCTAGAAACAAATCTGTACTGAAAAATCTGTACTAAAAATGTGTCCAAAATGTATTTACAAATTTATTTATTTTTAAACAACAAACTCATCATTTTTCAGTCCTTTAAAATTGGTGTTAGCCAGATTTTACTGCATCTGTAATAGAGAAAGAATCTTTTCCTTCTTATTGTTCAAGAGCAGTTAACTCTGGTGGAAAACTCTGCTTGTCTGTCCACTTCTGGATTTTGGACTTGATCCAGAACGTGAGTTTTGTATGTACATCTATTTTAAAGATGTGGTTAATTTGTAGTCAGTATGTATTCATACAGCTGCAGCAGAAGCAGAAAAAGTAGAAGAAGAAGAAGAAGAAGAAGAAGAAGAAGAAGAAGAAGAAGAAGAAGAAGAAGAAGAAGAAGAAGAAGAGGATTGAGAAGAAGAAGAAGTAGCAGCAGCAGCAGTAGAAGTAGTAGTAGTGGTAGTAGTAGTAGAAGAAAAAGAAGAAGAAAGGAGAAGACAGAAAAACCAATATGATCAATTAATGAAGAAATGTTATTTTAAAATGAGTAACGTGGTGAAAACCCACTAACCTCCCACTTGACTCGCACGCTGGTTGCATTCACAGATTCTCCGGCTTTGAGTTCAATATTGAGAACACTAAGTTCTTTAATAATTTCATCTCTTGGCATATTAACAGCAAAACTCAAGCGTTTCTCTGAAATAACCAAGAAAATAATGTTATTTTTTAGCATAACCATTATCAGCAAAGTAACTGCCACCGTCGTCCCTTACCCTTCTGATACCCCACTCCACTTCCCCCCCCCCCACCACACCATTAAAAAAAATAGACAGTCACTGTTATAGACAATGGAGTGACTTAAAAGTAGACAACTAACTCTAATTCAAGCAGACCTGAATCATTCTGTGTGGTCAGTAAAAATTATTATAAAACTGGAAAAAAATGTGACTATCAAATCGAATGCGGGGTGGATGGGGCAATATTCAAGTTAAAATCCCAAGAAACGATAAATCGGATTTGACAAAAAGCAGGTTATATAAGCTCTTATTGAAGCTTTAAAAAATGTTCATAGGAATGTAATCTATTTAGAGAATGCAGTTTTAAAATGCACATTTTCAGTCAGTACTACATAATGTGTGTACTGTGATATAATTCTCCTTGAGTGATACAAAAAAATAAGGTTGAAAAATGCAATAGAATGTGTCACATGACCCTTTTACAAATCAAACAATTCTGCTGTTATAACTTCGGTAGTCCTGATTTTGTAAAATTTCTCTGAAGTTAGTGTTTCATTTTGCTCTTGGTATACCTCATGATCTATGTCTTTCTACCTCTTTGATGTATGTCGTGTATGGTATGGTTTCACAAGGCATACTTTTTAAATGGGTAAAATCTGCTGTCTTCGTACGGTGAGGACTGGTTAATCAAAGGGAGTAAGAACATGAAACAATACTTTTGGAGATCGTAAGATGTGGAGAGGCATGATCACCCATGTCAGCCAGTAAAGCATTTAATAATGATGATGATGATGACGATGATGATGATAGTGCTAAATCAACACTGCTTTATTGTCTTTATTTTAAAACTGCTAAACTGTCTAAAAGCAATACTGCTGAACTTACCTCGTGTGGTTATGTAATCTGAAAGTGGGCTGGGTGGGCTGAGGCCAAAGGAGTTCTTGGCCCTGATTAGGAAAACATACTTGGTGTCTGCTTGGAGGTCCTTGACCGTGTAGCTTTCTCTTGACACCGAATCTGTGGCAACCTGCCAACCCTGCAGAGAGATCTTGTGTGGTCTTTGAAACAGCATTTTTTAAGACACACAAAAAACAAGGGATTCAGAACCTGAGCAAAAACTTAAACCAAAAAAAACCCGCTGGAGCTACGGAGTGCATGCTCTGCATTGGATATGATCTTCAGCTGCGAATGGAGAGAAGTGAAGTGTAAGAAGATGATAAATTGGAGAAAGAAGAAAGTATAGAAATAAGAAAGTGTTTTTAGAAGAAATTTCAAAATCCCTACAGATGGCCGCCTTCACAACTGCTCCGTTTCTGTGCCAGTGGAATTTACACAAAATGCACTTTACTGTCCCATCTAAAAAAACTAGTGAAAAACTTGACAGCAACAGCAAAATCTTGAAGCTTGCACATGCAAGGCAAACATTTGTAAGGCAGCTGTCAGATGTGCCAACAACAACAGTCCTATGCCAGAATTACAGCTCAATGTTGGCACAAAATGTCAATTTAACAAAAGTACACACCATTCTGAAGTAACCGGCCATCCACCATTTTACTGCAGTCAACAACATGCTGCAAGCACAACAGAAAAAAAAAAAAGAACTTGTAAATGAGATCAACAGCTCTCAGTGTCATACCAAGCACTCAACCTGTAAATAGGGAACCTGCAAAAGTTAAAACCCAGTTGGAAACAAAAATTCAGAGCATCAGAAAGGCAGGAGTCAGGACTGTCAAATATTTTTTTTTTTAAATCTTGGATTGAAACATGTTAGAGTGGATTACTGGAATTGTCATAGCACCAGGTAGAGAGAGACTGTATTCGAGAGACCACAAAAAAAGATATGAAATCAATTTTTTTTAATATAAAATATTTTTAGTAAACTTCAAGTAAACAAGAAGTAAAAATATGTATTAGGTTTTGTTATACACATTCTGTTTGGCTTTGTAGCAGACTAAAATCTAACAGAGATTTGAAAACACGATCAGCAAGCAAACATACAATTTAGAGCACTGGTTCTCAACCTTCATAATGCTGCAACCCTTTCAGACAGTACCTCATTTTGTAGTGAACCCCAACCATAAAATTATTTTTGTTGCTACTTCATAACTTCCAGTGAATATGTGTTTTCCTATGGTCTTCGGCAACCCCTGCAAAAGGATTGTTCGACCCTCAAAAGGGTCGCAACTCACAGGTTGAGAAACGCTGATGTAGTGTCGAGGTAGAACATGATAGCGATCTTTTTTGGTAATAAACAACACAACAGGTTAACTTGATGAAATACTAACTACAACACAAACTACGACTAGAAAGCTCAACAGAGGAATCAAACATCATTCCTCTTTACGAATCTGATGAAAACTGGATTAACGCCAAGTGGAGGAAAAGTTGATAAAAAAGCTTTTTTTTTTTAAAAAGAAGCAGTAGCAGAACAAGTAGAAAGGCACAGAGAAGTGATTAACACTCACTAAATTATGTTTTTATTCATGACTAAACAATGCTCAACATGATATAAACATGTTTAATCAAATGTGGAGTACCTCAGAAGTCTGTGGACTAAAATATTCCACAACAAATGCAAAAACATGCGACTGGCCAATCTGTTCACTGGCTGTCCAGGTTAAGTGGACAGATGTGTCGGCTATGTCAGAAACTCGTGGCTTTGAAGGAGCGCCTGGAAATGCTGACGGTTTCTGGGCTCGAATATATGGGCCTTGTTCTGAAATAAATTAATTTTTCTCCATATCATTGTGGAGTAATAAAACAATAACTAAAAGGTGATGTATGGAGATACTCAATAATTACTGATTACTGATATAATAATCAATATTCTTCTTCTTCTTATTCTTCGCGTTCACCAGCTGTACACTCTGGCGGAAAGTTCTGGTTGCTCGTCCACTACTGAACTGCAGTCCTGCTCCAGAACCTGAGTGTTGCATGTGCATCAGTTTTACAGATCTCATTCTCTTTAATACAGACTGTTGGTTCCTTTAATCAACATTATCTTTTGTATATAGATTTTATAATACATAAATTTTAATATCTCTCTCTCATCTTTCCTCTTTCTTTTATATGATGAAAATGAACTAATTAAACGAAGGGCTCCCATTTATGTACAACATTTTATCAGTCTGAAGACGACAGTGTAGAAAGTAATTGTTTAAAATAAAAATAAAAAAGTAAAGAACTTTTTTCCACACCTTTAGGCGTACTGGACACATTGACCTATATTTGACAGACCAATCGCTACTCAGGGGGTGATGAGGTCAACATCATCCCAGGCACCTTTACCTTCCAGGACTGTAAAAGTTAGTTGCGTATCCTTTACAGGACGTTGCAGAACCAACCCAAGCGTTTTTTGGCTCTAGTGGTTTTTCTTGGCAAATTTACGTCCAGTAATTTGCCACTGCTTTCTAGACCTGTCGGCTTCTTGATAACACTGCCGAAACCAGTGCAAGGCCCACAGCTGGGATCAAACCTGGCACCCCGGCATTACGAAGAGCATTCACAAAGCCTAAGCCACATATGCCGACTTCCAGGACTATACCTGGTACCTAATTAAGACTGGGTCGACCTAGGAGCAAAGGCCATTATTTTTTTTAAGTCTGGCTCTGTCTGGACTTGAACCCACAATCTTTTGATCCATAGGCAAGCATGCAGCCGCTACAACATGTCAGCTCCCAAAAAGAGTATAAACGTAAACTATACCTTAGGTCTGAACTTACTTGACACAGTCAGAGTTGCTGTCCAGTTTGTCTCACCGGTCTCACTTACTGCTTTACATGTGTACTGCCCTGAGTCTGTAACCTTCACATCTGGGGAGAAAGCAGTGTGAACCAATCAAATTTCAAATCTCTAGGAACACACTGTCGCCCAATCACTTTCTTTATATCTCTAGCCAGATTTTTAGCCAATCACAAACCGAAGTAAGCTTTTAAATCAAAACCTGAAGCTCACAGAGTAGGGCTATTCAACTAAGTTCACTCAAGAGCCACAATACTGAAAATGGGGATCATCATGGGAAAAGTCAGTTTCTACAAGCGATTGTTAACCCAAAAGACACTCAGTTTGTAGACTTGACGCAACAGCCGATTTACTTAGGCTCTTCGGTAGAACAATCTGTACTGCAGTGGATTCCAGGTCACTGTGGCTTGGAAGGCAATGAAATAGCGGACAGATTGGCCAGAAGCGGCAGTGACATGGTACAACCAAATAGCGACTTAACCCACCAAGAGATGAAAACACTAATACAATCTAGTATCTAAGAAAGTTGGCTGGATACCCACACCAGATTTTCTCCCCAAGACTCACTTCATCGCCTCTCTAGAGAGGGACTGTATTATATTCAGACTAAGGACAGGGCACAACAGATTTCGTCAACATATGTTCAAATTTCTCGGTGTAGGAAATACGGAGACGTGTCCCTGCAGCGTGGCACGCGAAAATGCTGAGCATGTGCTCCAACACTGTCAACTGTATGCTGACAACAGAGACGCAATCTGACGCACACCAGCTACGCCAGAAGACTTGTTAATCAACATAGAACTGGTACTATTAGCCATCGGACGTTGGGGTTCATACTGAGGGGAGGATCTGAGCACCTATGGACATGTCCGGAGTGCAATGAGGATAACCCAACTAACTAACTAACTAACTAACTAACTAACTAACTAGAGACGCAATCTGGCCTGTTCCAACCACACTGAAGACAAAACTGTATGGTACACGAGAGGATATGGATTACACGATAGCTTTCATAAAGGCTACCGGCCTCCTGATATAAGTTTTCTGATAGAAGGATCGAAGAAGAAGAAGATCGTGGGAAGAGGCCTAAGCCCCAGCAAAGAAAGATCATTAACACAATACAACTGGCAATGATCCATGAGCCTTATGCTAGACCTTCAGGGAACAGATTTGTCCTGCAGGCCACCAGTTGAATAGCCCTGGAAAATGCAATGCAAATAATCCTCAGATACTGGCAGTGACAGTAAATAAAATGAAAAAGAAAATACCAAATATGATGACTGTATCTGTGGTTACTTGCTTTATTTTGATTTGAAAAATGTTTAAAACATTTTATTTTTTATTGCTCAATAAGTTAATAATTTCATATGGGTTCCGGGGCCCTATTATAGGGAAAACAAGAATAGACCCCTGCCTACCCAAAAGCATGTCGTAAGAGTCGACTTATTGGGAGCTTTCTTCAAAGTCAGAGTGCATCTACCTGAGAGGCAAGGAACCAACATTCTGCATACAAATTAGTCAGATCTGTTGAACGGATGCACATGCAACACTCAGGTTCTGTAACAGGACTGCAGTTCAAAAGTGGATGAACAATCAGAACTTTCCGCTGGAGTTTACAGCCGGGGAATGCGAAAAAAGAAGAAGAAGACGTCACTATTTCCATTGCTGTTTATTTAGCCGTCCAATGAGAAATGCTTTTATCAAGCAGACTAGAAGAACAACACCATGCAGCAAATTCAAAGAGAAACAGAAAAATAAATGGTTTGTTCATTAAGTAAGAAATGAGCTACAACTACTACCAACTCAGGCGATTCACATGAAAAGTGGAAGCAAGAGGCTGTCCTAGGAGAGATTGATTGATGACATCAAAGAGCTTCTACACTGACACAGAATGACAATAGCCATTGCTGTTCATCAAGCAATGGATTGCAAACTGTTCCTCCCCACAACTCTTTTAACAGCAGAAGTGGAAACTAATGATGATAATGACTATTTTCACCACCACCATAACACTAACAACAATTAAATGTGAAAGTTACATAAAAATTTTGCTTCTGTATACCTGAGATCTGCAATGTCCCCGAGGTTAACACAGCTGCTCTTGGATCTGTGTTGATCAGCGGTTTCCCATTTTTATACCATCGGATGGTTGGCGTGGGATCCCCGTCTGCCTGACAGTTTAGTAGGGCCACCTCTTTGGGTTCTAAAGTCTGATTCTGAGGTCCAACCATAATGACCGGAGGTGGACGGTCATCATGATCTAAAGAACAATAAATACACAACATATTTTATGATTGCATTTTGTGAAATAAAAGAAGCCATTAAAGAGACATGTTATCATTTCAGCAAGGTGCCAGGAGTTTTTAAACTCCTTCAGTCCCAGAAGATGATAGCTGATGAATGACTGAAGAAATCAAACTGGCAAGTAAGTCAGGGACACTACATCCACAGGAGCCAAACAGGCAGCACACTGTGGGACATAACTGTGTCTCTGAAGTGACTTAGCTCTTTCAGTCATAAGGAAAGCATCATACGTTCATAGGTTCCTACCCCAGAAGCTCAATAAACGCAAGATGTGCTGATTTTACATCTTTATTTACCACCCCTAGGGCCTCTGATGCTAAATCCCCTGGGACTCAAAAGAGTTCATATCTTCTTCTTCACTTCCTCTTCTACTACTTCTGGTGCTGAGGGAGATATAATGTTCTGCTTCCTGCTCTTCTGGCCACCTCGACCATAGACATATCGTGCTGTTATAGAGTTTCTAAGATGTTATCTTTCCTTCTTTTTCTTGATCTAACCTCTGCTAGATGTCCCTCTCCTCTTCTGATTTATGATTTGTACTGCATGGCATCACGATGTATTCTCTCTAAGTAGGCAAACCGTTTGATTTTCTCTCTTTGTATGTAAGGTAGAACTGGTTCTGTGCCGATGTGTTCTCTCATGATCTCATTCCGGATTTTGAGCTCCTCTGGTCACATTTGCAGCCCCTCTCAGATATCTTATTTCTATGAGTACAATTTGTTGGGGGGGGGGGGGGGGGGGGGAGTTATGAGTGACTATGTCTGGTACTTGGAGCACAGAGTGGGAATGCATGTGTTTTGTGTGAGATATGTCCTTGTACTGACAGGGATTGTCTTACGCTGTGGGGGAATGGAAGGCTAGTTGTCCCATTACTACTTGGTCTTTCATGTCTGCATCTGATGTTAATTTCTTCATTAATTGTCCATCTTTGGTGAACAATGTTGCCAGTTATTCAAACTCGGATGCCTGTTTAATGTCTTTGCACTCTACTGCTATATTTAGGCTTTGCTTCTTTGTTTCTTCCTGTTTACATTATGTGATTTAGTATTCCTTGACTAAATAAACATAAGACATCAAAATATAATTACACACTGACACAGTGAGATTTATCAAGTCATATATGGTGCACAGTTTGGTATTCAAAAAGTTAAAGTTATAATGGAACTAAAATCATCTTTAAAATTAAAAAAATATATATATAATGAACTGTTATAAAAGTAGAAAGGGAAATTAAGGGATGTAAAGCAATACGGAATACCATAGGCAAAAAATCAGCAGACTGGCAGCAATGGAGATCATGTGTGAACACCTTATTTATATGTAAACAACGGCACAAGAGAATATAGACTTTAGAAGTAATCTAATACCATTTTTAAACACTAAATATAAAAAAGAGGAATAAATGACACAAAACAATTATTCTAAAATTTAAATTTATACTAACATAGCCTTTTAGGATATCACTGACCTCTCACAGAAAGCACTGCAGAAGCAGTTGTGACCTTTGAATTTGACATACTGTTCAACGCCTGGCATACGAATGTTCCTTCGTCCCTATATTCCACATTTTTAATTCTCAAAGTTCCATCCTCAGATACAAGGAATCTTCCATTTTCTTGGTGTGGAAACATCAAAAGCTAGAAAAAAAATTTTTTTTTTAAACATGATTTT